AAAATTTTAATTTGATTTGTTACATCTATATATATAAAACAAAGTCGCGTTATGTGTTACAACAATTATAACTCGAGATCTGATGGAACAATTTTCATGGTTTTTGATTTGTTGGATTTGTCTCCGCCCCGATTAGGAGAGTATATCTAAAAAAATACTACAAAATATTAGGCTTGATAACAGTGACAGTTTTCGGTCCTTCTCTCATGTTAAACAATTATTCATGCACATTTGATCAATACGTGAATGAATATACTATTATGTGAATTTTTTAAAATAAAAATTGAAAAATTTTACGCGTGCGTTCAGAAGCAAAATATCTCGAAAGTTCTGGTAGGTACTGTTTATCTTAGACATTACTATGTGTAAAATATTTATTAAGTTAAAGATTTATTCTACAGTTTAACAAAAGTGTAAATGTCTTTTAATAGGCTGTCTCGATTGTTTTATGTGGTTTTGTGCGAGTGCATATTCGGTATTACTATTAATAAAAATGCCGCGTCCTAGAAGATCTAATTTTTCCCATCGGACCCGTAATGCAGGCAACGGAATATCGCGGGTCAATTATCTGACCAAAAAACGAAGAATGTCGTTTACCACAAGGTGCTTGAATGAAAATCCGATTAATAAATTATTCATAGTGTATCCCAACCTGAACAACATAATTTTCAATGTTTTTTTCTGACATGTGTTTGGAAAACTTAATTATTTCTTTTTTTTTTTTTTTAATTTTTATTCTCATTTTGTATGTTTTCATCATCATTCATCATAATAAAATACTTCTATATTTCTATCTATATTAATATTGTTTTGTATTATTGTATTACGTTCATCAAAGCCTAAATTAGTTCAGCTAAAAGGTAACACTACATTCTTTGACTGTTAGGCGGGTCACCTAGTTATATATATGTATATATATAACAAATCAAATTAAGATGTATGTACATATACATATATATATATACATTATATTTATTATTATATTATAATAAGTATCATGTTTAGAGTTTATCTGTATATATGACAGTTACAAAATAAAAAACTGTTAGCTTAAGCGTTTAGAAAACGTTTTAAAAAAATAGCACAACGGAATGTAAATAAAGATAGTTTAGATTTGAAAACAATTGCACTTTATATATTAATCCGTAATATGTGTATGCATACATATGTATGTACGTATGTCGACATCTGAGTGGTGCACACGACTCATCGATATTTTGGAAAATGGAAATTTGATCCCCTTTCTATTCGTCGGTACAGAAGTTTTATTGGAAAAAGAATTCACACAAAAAAAAAACAAATATTGAATGTGTTTCTCGTTTATTTTTAGTCTTTGGTAGTCACGAATTTGTAGTTATAATATATATACATACATACATATATACATATATATATATATATATATATATATATATATATATATATATATATATATATATATATATATATATATATATATACCGAATTACTCATTTCAAATATATTTATGTATGTGCATGAAATGCTGTATGGATGTTAGGCGAATAGTTAAGCTACATCTCCATGGCTATCACATAAATATATAATTGCAGGACTGCGAAAATTGCAGGTGTGAATACGTATGGATTTTAATTGATTAATAGCAGTTGCATAGTAGTATTTAAGCATAGTAATATTATATATACATATTTCTTCTCAGTTTACTTCTTATGAGATATTTATTCAAATGAGCCAGATCTATTTATATACCCGTCAACCGTTACACAATTCCACGAATAGACACAGCTATATAAGCATGCAACAGATATGTAGCAATCTACACACACACTTAGAGATATACTACATATGAATTTATTTTTAACTTTTTGAAAAAGTTTTTAATTTAGTACTGAAATTTAATGGTTTTTTTTTTTTTTTTTTTTTTTTTTTTTAATTATGTTTATATATATTTATTATTATTATTGGTTAATGTATGTATGACTCGATTTTTTATAAGATACATAAATACATATATATCTTGGTACATACAACTAGACTACAGATAACACAGTACAACCCACAGCAAGAAAAAGTATTCTTCTGTGGAAACGAAGCGAACTCCACGAGTGTCGATCTATTACTGTTTCTTTTCAACAGAATCTCGCTGAGAATCAGCATCGGGCATTAGGAATTATCTAGCGAGTATAGCTTTCGTTTTCATTTTGGGGTCTCTCTTTTGCACTCTCCTTCTCTGTCTCTCCTCTCTCTCTCGTTATTTCCCTTGCTAGTTAATTATTATTGTAGTAGTGGAATTCTGTGACTTTTAATTTTTGGGGTAAGTTATTTACATATGTATGTATGTAAAAATATTTGATTCAGAAGTATTGTTTGGTAGGACTCTTAAAACTTTTCTACATTTGCGTGCTTCGTCTTATCGAACAGAGCGTTATTTATAAATATTTTTCATACATAAAAATATCTGAACTAAATATAAATACCTGTATATAGCCGGCACTATCTAAAAATTGTATTCATACATATGGTTTTCCTTTAAATATTATGAGATTTGTCGCAAATAAATAGTAATGAATAACGTACAGTGGAAATTATTAGATTAACTAAGTGATAATAATGTAAATTGAACCATGGAAATTTTGAAATTTATAAAAGTGTTCAGTAACAAGTAACAATATGGCTCCAGTCGAGACTGATCGACTAGGAGATATCCTGAACCCTTCAAGCTAATATTCTACTCATTCTGCACTTCTTTTATGCACACATGCATAAACACGCATCCACACGAACGTATAATCACGCGCTCTGCTGACTGAGCAGTAAGCAGCGACTGCGCTTGGGCTGCGCTGTAGTGTGAGCAATATTATGAGAATTTATTTGTTTAATAATTTCTTTTGTAGACATACAATCTTAATGAAACTTTCAGAGCACAAATCTCTAGTACTTGAAATGCATTTTTACAAATTGGGGGCGAAGGGGGCGTGGTATCCAAAATCTGTAAATTACAAAATCTTCGTATCGATCAACTGTATATACACAGTAAATCTGAAGTCGCTAGGTCTAAAAGTGTTCAAATTGTGTTGAAAAAACAAAGTCGATTTTCGATTATTCTCGATAAAAAGATATCAGATGAGTTATCGAAAAATACCATAAACTCATACTGCGTATGGTATACCCGAGTATGCATGCCGAATTTCAGCTCTCTAGCTCTTATAGCTTCTGAGATCGACGCACTCATACGGATGGACGGACGGACAGACGGACGGGGATATATCGACTCAGCTCGTCGTCCTGATCAAGAATATATATACTTTATGGGGTCTGCGACGATTCCTTCTGCCCGTTACATACTTTTTCACAAAACCATTATACCCTGATTTCCTATTTTCAATGGGTTCAGGGTATAAAAAGTGAGGTGTTTTAGTGAGTAGGGGCGCGACGCTCGATCGGGATGTCTCGGGTGTTATTATGATGTTAGTTCTTTTTTAATTGTTTCAAAATATTTATAAATTTAATTAAATGAGTTTTCTATTTCATTTAAATTTATAAATACATCGAAGTTGAAATTTTAGGCAGACTAAATATGCATTTTTATTAGTTTGGTTCAGGGTAGCATCTAGTCGAGCACTCTCGACTAGAGTTTTCTTACTTCTTTAAGCAAAATCTTTTAGAATATTATTTGATGAATACCAAAATTTTATAATTTACATATTTTGGCTACTACGCCCCCTTGAGTCCCAGTTTGTAAAATGGGGCCTGCCACGTCTCCTTCTGACTGTTACATACATTTTCACAAAACATGCCCTAATATACCAAAATATACCCTGAGTTCCCATTTCAGGGCTCAGCGTATAACAAGTAAGAGTGCTCTAGTCGAGACTTGTCGACTAAGAGATACCCTGAACTCTTCAAAGAAGAGATATTCTTATCATTCCGAACTTCTTTTATACACATACATACACATGCAGACATACGCTTTGATTCGCTTTTTACAAATTTTTACATGTACATGTACATGAACATTATTTGATGCCTCAATCTCCAATTTACAATTTTTTGATTCCACGCCCCCTTCGCCACCAATTTGTAAAAAGCGTATAAAAGCGTATGTCTGCAGGTGTATGAATGTGTATAAAAGAAGTTCGGAATGATAAGAATATCTCTTCTTTGTAGAAAAAACGAAATTAATTTATCGGTTTTTCTCGATAAAAAGATATCGGATGAGTTATCGAAAAATATGATAAACTCATACTGCGTATGGCATATATACGAGTAGGCATGCAAATTTCAAGTCTCTAGCTCTCATTCTTCTGAGATCGACGCGTTCATACGGACAGAAGGACAGGGCTATATCAACTCTGCTCATCGCCCTGATCAAGAATATATATATGTTAAGAGGTCTGCCACGCCTCCTTCTTCTTGTTACATATATCTTCACAATAACATTATACCCTTATTTCCTATTTTCTATGGGCTCAGGGAATTAAAAAAACTTTTCGATTTTATTGAAATATGTGTGAGGTATAATACTGCTGTTTTTCGCATGTCATCTATATATTATTATAATGCTGTTAGGTTATAATAATACGGATACAATTCATTACACATTTTTTTCAAACAAGACAGGGGTTATAATCCGAGCTGGAATATATGAATACGAATACGTATCCTGGCCAAAGTTTGCGCGAACGATTTAACCCTCTATATACTTTGAGGACCGCTCTCTTAGCAACCACTTTGCAATATTATTTGCTTTTCCAGGACTCATTGAGTTATATCACAAATTACAATTATCTTGATGGCCCCTTCCAAAACATAGTCAAGTTCATTAAAATATTTACAGAACTTAACTTTGATAAGGGCCCTTATGCATACGTCCAAATTGAAAATTGAAAATTGTATTAAACGTTGCGTTTGCGCTAATCAAATAAAGCTGTATTTAAAACTCTCTCCCTCTCTTTTTCTCTCTTAAAAATTTACGAGTTGCAATCTAAAATCTCGGTCATTAAAGAAAACAGGTTATCATATTCTTTTCTCAAAATTATATTTTCAAATCACACCAATTATTGTAATGATTGGTGGCATTTTTGGGCGGAAATACATATATGCCTTTTTTTACAACCATCATGCTTAAATCATATTTAATGTATCCATTGAAAGATATGTTAATTCAATTTTGTGGGTTTCCGAAGTGTAACTTTGATATGAAAGATATGGCATAAACAATACTTTAATAGTTTGTTTGATGGCATGAAAGCTGCTTTATATAGCGATTTATTAATTATATCAATTATGTACTAAGCCTGCACTTAGGCCCAAGGTGAGTAGAAGCAAGACGCAAAAAACTGTTGCTTTCCCGACCCATGCGAATTATGAGGGCCAGTTGGATTTGCTCCACCAGAGGACGCCAGGCTGTTGGCGTAGTTGTAGCCCATGTGTGCGTAAGAAGGCATAGCCGGTGAAATACCTTCGCTCACAAATGCCGACCCATGGCCCATTTGACTTGGACTGCACGTGGATGGACGAGCCTCCATGCTCGGTTGATGGGCAGCACTAATAGCAGTATTTGTGGTAGACGTTCCCAATGCCGAAGCTGGAGCTGGTGGCGGGGGCGGCAAGCCATAAGCGGATAAGGACTCGTATCCAGTTGAATTGTTACTAGCTGGATTGCTAATGTTCACTGTGGGACTACTGCTGACACTAGTGTTCTCATTTGTAGCGCCTCCAACGCAGACCAACTGATGCGGCCCTAAGGGGGGCGGCCTTAATGGCATATGGCACGGATACATTGAGGGCGGGGTCAGATCTCTTTGTTGGGCGATGCCCGAGCCAACTGTTGCGTGACTGAAGCTTGGCATGGAAGAAACCGCACAAATTAAAATTCAAATTTTAAAACTATTGAATTACCTTCAGATAAGTTAACTTACCTATAACCCTCACTCATCGATAACGCATTATGATGTATATTCGAGTACATAGCGCTCATTGAGCTGCTAAAGCCACTGTTGAAGTTGAGCCGCGGAGAAATGGACGGAACGAGCGTGTGAGGAACGTGATGATGATGCTGATGATGCTGATGTCGATGATCCGTAATCTCCAGACCCGAAGTACATTCACTACCAACGTCATGCGTTCCACTTCGAATCTGTGCGCTTCCTCCTCCCCCACCAGCGGAGTGGTGGGCCTCAGTTGTCTCAAGGCCACCAGTGGGTGTAGATATAGGGTGGGGCGATGACAAGCTGTTCAACCCACCTACAAATAAGAGAGTACAATCTTAACATTAGAAAGTTTAAGTACATATGCAAATTGAACTGGTTCTAGCACCCACTGACTCCTACACGTAAAACAAGTAAGAAGGCTCCAGTCGAGACTGCTCGACTAGGAGATACCCTGAACCCTCCCAGTTGATATTCTAATCATTCTGGACTTCTTTTATGCACACATACATATACATGCACTTATATTTATTTGTTGAATAATTTAATTTCTAGACGTACAATCTTAATAAAGCTTTCAGAGCATAATCACTATGTTCAAATGTATGTACATTCCAAAGCACAAGTCTCTAGTACTTGAAATACGGCTTTTGCAAAGGTGAGGGGGTGGATATAGGGGTGGGGGGTAAATTTCAACAAAAATCGAAATTATGTAAAATACACATAAGTCTACATATAAAATTTGCAAGCTCTAGCTCTAAAGGTGTAGGAGATATAATTAAATAACTAGCTTTCGATAGGTTTTTTGATCGATAATAAAATATCAGGAGTAGTTATCGATATATAAAGAAAAACTTGATATGCGCGTGATATACACAGACCTAAAAAAAAATTTCAAGTCTCTAGCTCTTATATCTTCTGAGATGGACGCGTTCATACATACGGACGGACGGACAGACAGACGGACAAATCAAATCAACTTAGCTCGTCGCCCTGATCAAGAATATATATACTTTATGGGGTCTGCCACGCCTCCTTCTGCCTTCTACATACATTTAACAAAACCATTATACCTTGATTTCCCATTGAAAATGGGTTCAGGGTATAAAAACAGCGAAATGGTTTACGTTCTTACAGACAATCGGATGAACGGACACAAACTGTACAAAATCAATAGTGGAAACTTACTTCCTGCTGATCCTACCAATAAAGATGAACAGCCACCCAAACTATTGGGACTGTCAGTTAATGAAGTCGTAGCCGAAGTCGAGGTTGAAGTTCCATTCGTACTGGTGGAATTTGGCGTACGCCTCTGACTTCGCAATTTTTCTTCACGACGCCACTTGGCACGTCGATTCGAAAACCACACCTGTATCCTTGCTTCAGGCAATCCTATTTTACCAGCCAATCGTTCACGTGCAAATACGTCCGGGTAATGCGTTCTTTCAAACTCTGAAATAAATTAATATTAATTATTTTTCATCTATATTTATAAAACAAAGCCGTGTTATGTGTTACAACACTGGAGCAATTTTCATGGTTATTGATTTGTTGGATTGGTCTCCGCCCCGATTAGGAGAGTATATCTTAAACAAGTAACAACGTTGCAGTCGGGTGTTACCGACTGCGGAATACTCATTCACTCTAATACTAATACCCTACTTGGCGTAGACACCTCATTTTTGGTCAGTTCTTAGAACGAGATAATGGTACCCTAACTGCAAAGTTTGAATGCTTACCCTCAAAAATTTGAAAATTACAGGGTATTTTTCGATATGCCACGCCCATAAAAAGGCGTAAAAATTATTTTTGGGTCATCGATAGAGGAGTTCACTGGTATCTTAACTATCTAAATTTGTTTTTAGCTATTATACTTTAGGAGTTATAAACTTTTGCGGTTTGCCACGCCCCTTGTGGGCGGACATATATAAAGCTTTTTGGTCTTGGGTGATCAGCATGAGTATATATACAAAATTTGAGGTCTCTGGCATAAATAGTGTCCAAATATAATTTTAAAAATCACTATATATTTAGTCTGATTTGCCACGCCCCTAGTAGGCGTAGATATATAATTTTTTCACCCATCTTTATAGAATTAAAACATCAGCTTACGTGCAAAATTACAGCATTCTAGGTTTATAGCTTTGGGAGATACAGTTTTATCCGATTTGGCACGCCCCTAGTGGGCGGATTGGAAAAATTTTAACACTTTATAGATCGGAGATATACACGAGTATGTGTTCCCAATTTCAAGTCTCTAGCTTCAATAGCGCCGAAATAGATTGCGTTCATACGGACAGACGGACGGACAGCAAGACTGACATTGCTAAAACCAATATAATCATTTCACTTTCGTGAATGAGTCTAAAAATTTCAAGTCTCTAGCTTTTATATCTTCTGAAATCGACTCAGCTCGTTGCCCTGGTCAAGAATATATATACACTGTGGGGTCTGCCACGCCTCCTTCTGCCTGTTAAATACATTTCAACAAAACCATTATACCCTGATTTCCCATTGAAAATGGGTTCAGGGTATAAAAATGGCGCGTCCTAGAAGATCTAATTTTTCCCATCGGACCCGTAATGCAATTTGGCAACGGATTATCGTGAGTCAATTATTTCGATATGATTGCACCATCCACTACACCTTGTGGCGCATGGAAGTTTGCTGGTGAAACGCCCGGTTTGTGCTGCCTTAGTGGTAAAGAGACATTGCCATTATATTTCTATCTATATTAATATTGTTTTGTATTATTGTGTTACGTTCATTAAAGCCTAAATTAGATCAGTTAAGAGGTAACACGACATTCTTTGACTGTTAGGCGGTACGAAGTTCGCCGGGTCAACTAATATCGAATCAAAAACAAATAACAAGGTTCCAGTCAAGGCTGCTCGACTAGAAATACCCTGAAACCTCTAAGCTCATTTTGCACTTCTTTTATGCACCCATACATACACATACATCCACACGTACGTATAATCACGCGCTCTGCTGACTGCGCAGTTAGTAACGACAGCGCTTGGGATGCGCTGCAGTGTGGGCAATATTATACGAATTTATTCGTTGAATAATTTCTCTTGTAGAGAGACTATCTTAATTAAACATTCAGAACGTTATCATATTGTTTAAATGTGTATATATTCCAAATCACAAGTCTTTAGTACTTTAAATTTTATTTGAAATACACTTTTTACAAGGAGACTCCAAAACAAGTTAGAAGGCTCTAGTCGAGACTGCGCGACTAGGAGATACCCTGAACCCTCTAAGCTAATATTCTAATCATTCTGTACTTCCTTTATGCACACATGCATACACACGCATCCATACGCACGTATAATCACGCGCTTGGACTGCACTGCAGTGTGGGCAATATTATAAAAACTTATTAGTTGAATTATTTCTCTTGTAGTATGACTATCGTTATGAAAGTTTCAGAGCGTGAAACACGTTTTTTACAAATTGGGGGCGAAGAGGGCGTGGTATCCAAAATCTGTAAATTACAAAATCTTTGTATCCATTAACTTTACATACAATGCAAATTTGAAGTTCCCAGGTCTAAGAGTGTTCAAATTGGGCTGAAAAAACAAAGTCGATTTTTCGATTATTCTCCATCAAAAAGTTATCGGATGAGTTATCGAAAAAATATGATAAACTTGTACTGCCTATGGTATACACGAGTATGCATGCCAAATTTCAGCTCTCTAGCTCTTATATCTTCTGAGATCGACTTGCTCATACGGACGGACGGACGGACAGACGGACAGGGCTATATCAACTCAGCTCGTCGTCCTGATCAAGAATATATATACTTTATGGGGTTTGCGACGATTCCTTCTGCCTGTTACATACTTTTCACATAACCATTATACCCTGATTTCTCATTTTCAATGGGTTCAGGGTATAAAAAGAAAAAGAATAGAGAAGTATCTGATCTGCGGGGCACAGGTTTTTATATGGGAAGGAGTTAAGACTATCGACAATTTAAGGAAGCTAGAGAATCCAGTCAGATATGCAAGGAGAGAACACAACCAGTAGAACTGATATGGCTCAGTTTATATTCGGACAAGAAAGAGTTTTGTTACTAAATTATATAAAATATATTATTTTATTGAACACAAAGTTGTTATATATTCACAAGAACCCAATACAGCGTCCCCAATCACTAGTACTCTAGTGTGGGAGCGTTAAACTATAAATGGATGTATATATAAATATATGGATGTATATATGTATGTATATGTATATACCTTTTTCTAGACTATCAATCTGCTCATTTGTAAACGATGTTCGGTTTCTTTGCAGTTTTCTCTTCAAAATTAATCTGGCCTGGTCATCCTCGGTCGCACCTAAATTAGACGCGCAGCCGTTTGAGTTCTCTCCCTCGCCAGAACCAGTTTCGTCTGATTGATGCCCATCGAGCTCTAAAAGATAATTTAAACATTGTATTGTTAATGTTACATTATACTTTCACTATGTATATGATATCTACATATATATGTAAATATATAAGCGAATTAAAAGCTAATTTATGCAAACTTATTTGGAAAAGCAATCGTCTACCGATTGTATGTATAACAAATAAAAATGCTCTAGTCGAGACTGCTAGACTACGAGATACCCTCAGCTGTCTAAGCTGATATTCTAATCTTTATGCACTTCTTTTTTGCACACATACATACAAATTAGAGGTGGGCACGGGCCGGGTTTTTATCGTTTTACCCGTGGGCACCCGTGGGTATGGGCAAAAAATCGAGTTTCGGGTTGGGTGCGGGATACGCCGCACAACCCGTTTTACCCGAAAAAATCATATTTTGGAGACCGTCAAAAGCATGATGGTTGAAATTTATGATATGCAAAATGATTCAATTGAGGACGCGAGAATTGAGAACTCTCCGACAAATTTGAATCTTGAATTTCTAGAGTTTTTGGACAAAAATCAACCAAAAAAGAAAACTTGACGAACCTGGCAAAAATGCAATTGACTTAGAAATTGATGAATATTATGCCACACGCTATAATTCAAACTTGTCAATGTTAGATTTTTGGCAGGAGGCAACGGACCTTAAATTGTGGCAAAAATATTTTATGTATTCCGGTAAACTGTGCATTAACACTAATAAGCGAGCGAGTATTCTCCTCTTCTGGACAAATTTTAAATGAAAAGCGAACAAGGCTATTAAGCGCAAATCTTAATATGCTCCTTTTTATACCCTGAACCCATTGAAAATGGGAAATCAGGGTATAATGGTTTTGTGAAAAGTATGTAACAGGCAGAAGGAATCATCGCAGACCCCATAAAGTATATATATTCTTGATCAGGACGACGAGCTGAGTCGATATAGCCCTGTCCGTCTGTCCGTCCGTCCGTCCGTATGAGCAAAAGGATCTCAGAAGTTATAAGAGCTAGAGAGCTGAAATTTGGCATGCATACTCGTGTATATCATAGGCAGTACGAGTTTGCTTTATTTTTTCGATAACTCATCCGATAACTTTTTTATCGAGAATAATCGAAAAATCGACATTGTTTTTTCAGCCTAATTTGAACACTTTTCAACCAGGAGACTTCAAATTTGCGTTGTATATAGAGTTAATAGACACAAAGATTTTGTAATTTACAGATTTTGGATACCACGCCCCCTTCGCCCCCAATTTGTAAAAACGCATTTCAAGTACTAGAGACTGTGCTTTGGAATGTACACACATTTTAACTATATGAACACATTCTGAAAGTTTCATAAAGATACTCTTACTACAAGAGAAATTATTCAACTAATAAATTCTCATAATATTGCCCACATTGCAGCGCAGCCCAAGCGTAGCCGCTGCTTACTGCGCAGTTAGCAGAGCGCGTGCTTATAAGTGCATGTGTATGTATGTGTGCATAGAAGAAGTGCAGAATGATTAGAATATCAGCTTGGAGGGTTCAGGGTATCTCCCAGTCGAGCAGTCTCGACTGGAGCCTTCTTACTTGTTAAGAATTAAATTGTTGTTATGTTTGAGCACAAAAATTTGTTGTAATTTTTGAGAATTAAATTTTTTGTAAGTGTTTCGGGCGGGCGGGTTGATCGGGCCGGGTGCAAAAAAGTCGGCCCGTGCCCACCTCTTGTATTACAAATACATCCACACGTACGTGTAAGCACGCGCTCTGCTAGCTGCGCAGTAACCAACGACTGCGCTAGAGCTGCGCTGCAGTGTGGGTAATGGTATGAGAATATATTTGTTGAATAATTTATCTTGTATTGGTACTATCTTCATGAAAATTTCTGAACGTGATTACTCATTCCAAAACACAAGTCTCAAGTACTTGAAATACATTTTTCTACAAATTGTTATTCAAAATCTATAAATTATAAAATCTGTATATTCATAAGATGTATATACGAAGTAAATCTGAAATCTATAATTCCTAAATAACCAAATCATTTTGTCGATTATTCTCGATAGAAAGTTATTGGATGAGTTATCGAAAAAATATGATAAACTTACACTGCCTATGGTATACTCGAGTATGCATGCCAAATTTTGCTCTCTAGCTATATATCTTCGGAGATCTCGGCGTTCATGCAGACGGACGGACGGACGGCCAGGGATATATCGACTCAGCTGGTCACCCCGATTAAGAATATATATAATTTATGGGGTCTGCAATGATTCTTTCTGCCTATTACAAAAACATTCACAATGATTCTCCATTGCAAATGAGTTCAGGGTATACAAACTGATATATTGCATACAGACGCCAGTATTGAATTGAAATAAATCATAAAATTCATAACATTGTTACTGTCACATCAAGTACTACTTGAAGCCCCATCGACAGCCACATCTAAAACGCCGCAGGCAGCAGCATTTGGATCTCGGCTTGTCAGTTTTCATATACCAAATCAGCGGTCTCTCTCTCTCTATCTCACTCTCTTTCTCTCTCTCTCTCTCTCTCTCTCTCTCTCTCTCTCTCTCTCTCTCTCTCTCTCTCTCGTCTGTCTTTCGGTCTGTCTATCTCGCCCTCTGTGTGTGTGAAGCCGGTATAAAATGTGAGTGAATGTGACAAAGCAAATAGATGTTGATAGCTCTGGGACATGCCGCAGGTCCAGACTTAGGTCCAGTCCAGAGCACACGTCACTTGGCTAGCAAACTGCAATGTACTGACAGCACAACAACAACAGCAACAAGAATCTGAACAACGGCATAGCCATGGGGTAGGGTATACGGCACATGATAAAGATAGCCGAACACAAACTACAATAACAAATACAGCACTCCTCAACGATGGGAAGTTACATGGGTGAATAGGGTAGGCCAACAGCGCGACAGAGAGACACTCTTCCATAGTTAAATATGGTAAAGACAAAGCAGATAAGGCTCAAATGGAGTAGAGCGTGAGGTTTGCCAGATACGATTTTATAAATATGTATTTTGCGCTTTCTATATTTATGCACCCCATCAACACTCGTAACCATATCGTCCTATCCCCAACCGCTGTCACCGCTGTCACCGCTGCCACCCCCACGAGTTTGGCGTTTAATGAAGTGTCATCGCCTGTAAAATGAGTCTGCAAATCGCATTAAAGGAACTACTCCCGGTTAGGGGTTAGCCTGCTTGTCTGTCTGCCTGTCAGGAACGACAGCAATTCCCTTTGCCTGAGGCTGCAGATTAAACGGGCTACTGTTACAGTTACTTCTCCTTTGTTTGGCACACCCAAACAGTTAAGGCCAACACGTGGACGGACTTCAGGCACAGATTTTATTTTCAGAAACTTTGGGGCGTATGTGGTTAAACTAATTAGATCTTTGTTAAATGTCGGCAAATTATATTTTACCTGTTATGCCGTCGGCAGTAATCACTCTCAAGATCCAAAATATAAAATCTCAAGTCGCACAAAAAAGCTATGCAATGTTTTTCAATCAGCCATAGTAAATTTCCATTTAAGTACATTTGGTCACAGCGATGTTTACATATTTTAAGAGTAGCACACCACATTTCACCTGCAACTCCGGCTTTCAGTCCGACCGACAGTGCTCAGTATACCTTATAACAGATTTTTAGAAGCAGCAAAATTATAAGAACAGCAATCTAGAGACTAGCCATAAATCAATTTAGCCCAAAACGCGCACGATTGACTTGGAATATCTTCTAGATGCTCTTTAGTCCTTATGTCTTGCATGTCTACCTGTACCTCTCTCCGAATTTTCTGTTTGTATTTTGCATTTATCAGTCTGTATCCTCGCCAATTCGATAAGGACAATAAACCTGCCGTGCGTGCGTAAATAGTCGAGGTACGTGACCGAACGTCCAGATCTTGATTGGTCTCGCAAAACTTACTGCTTTTACAAGTTTCATGTTTCACTAAGGCTACAATCATATAAATTTCAGATTTTTTAACATAATAATAAAAAGTTAAATAAGCTTTGTTCTTCGTACTGGTTTTATAATAATATATTGGCAAAGCCTACATTTATAAAGTCAACAAACTACTAAAACTAGTAAGTAAGCTTTAGTCGAGACCGCTCGACTACGGGATCTCCTGTACCATTCGAGGAACTCTTATTACAATAATTCTTCGCTTCTTTTCAGCCTTTTGTGCATTTCCGTCTTGCTGTCCGTCCGTCTGTCCAGTAGAGACTTGAAATTTGTAACACACTTTTAACAAAAACCGAAATTGTATAAAATGCATATAAGTATACATTTAAAATTCTGAGACTAACTTTAATGATTTTAGATAAGGGTTTTTATCAATAAACAAGTAAGAAAGCTCTAGTCGAGACTGCTCGACTACGAGATCCCCTGAACCCTTGGAGCAATAGATATTTCAATAATTTTTCGCGTCTATCAGCTTACACAAGAACCACGCACACACACACACACACACGCGCACGTACGCAACCACAGACATACATACACACACACGCATACACACACACATACACACACACACACACGCATACACACACAAACGCATACACACACAAACGCATACACAAACACATACACACACAAGCACCCACGCATAAACACGCATTGGCTGCAGTGTGCGCTTACTATGAGAACTTAATTGTTTAATAACTTTTTATGGACGTACGATCTTCATGAAACTTTCAGATTATGATTATAACATGAATATGCATGTAATTGCCAAAGCACAAGCCTCTAGTATTTGAAATACGCTTTTTACAAAAGTGAGGGTGAGGGGGTGAATTTAGAGGTGGGGGGTAAATTTTAACAAAAACCGAAATTGTACAAATTGCATATAAGCATACATTAAAAATTTGGAGACTCTAGCAATAAAGGTGTAGAAGATATAATTTTATAACTGGTTTTCGATAAGGGTTTTTATCGATAAAAAAAGATAGGAATGAGTTATCGATGTTTAATGATAAACTTGACATGCGCGCTGTAATTACGGACATTTTAAAAAAATTTGAAGTCTCTAGCTCTTATATCTTCTGAAATCGACGCGTTCATACATACGGACAGACGGACGGACAGACAGACGGGCAGGGCCAAATCAACTCAGCTCGTCACCCTGATCAAGAATATATATACTTTGTGGGGTCTGCCACACCTCCTTCTCCCTGTTACATACATTTCAACAAAACCATTATGCCCTGATTTCCCATTGAAAATGGGTTCAGGGTATAAAAAGTAAGAAGGCTCTAGTCGAGACTGGTCGACTAGGAGATACTCTGAACCCTCCAAGCTGATATTCTAATCATTCTGCACTTCTTCTATGCACACATACATACAAATGCATCCAGACGCACGTGTAACAACGCGCTCTGCTAATGGCGCAGTAAGCAGCGACTGCGCTTGGGCTGCGCTGCAATGTGGGCAATATTATACGAATGTATTTGTTGAATAATTTAATTTCTAGACGTACAATCTTAATGAAACTTCCAGAACGTAATCAAACAAATTTGGGGCGAAGGGGGCATGGTATACAAAATCTGTAAGTTACAAAATCTTTGTATCCATCAACTTTATATAAAACGCAAATTTGAAGTTCCCAGGTCTAAGTGTTCAAATTAGGCTGAAAAAACAAAGTCGATTTTTCGATTATTCTCCATCAAAAAGTTATCGGATGAGTTATCGAAAAAATATGATAAACTTGTACGGCCCATGGTATACACGAGTATGCATGCCAAATTTCAGCTCTCTAGCTCTTATATCTTCTGAGATCGGTTTGCTGATACGGACGGACGGACGGACAGACGGACAGGGCTATATCGACTCAGCTCGTCGTCCTGATCAAGAATATATTACTTTCTGGGATCTGCCACGCCTCCTTCTGCCTTTTCACAAAACCATTGTACCCTGATTTCCCATATTCAATGGGTTAGGGTATAAATAGGTATTGCTCGAAGAGAGCAGAGCGTCATCTGATAAAACTACAGTAACGGCTGACAATCCAAAATTTAATCGCAATTCTTAGAATATGCTACGTATAGAATAAAGGATGAATGTGTGCACATGTATAGGAAAATGGAAATCTGCTACTACATTGGAGCCGGTATCCAAATTATAATAACAAATAAAATTGTACAAATTATACGTGTAATTTGAAGATCCTAGCTCCAAAGATATACTAGCTATAAAAGGGAAGAGCTATCGATGATTTCTCAAATCTAATGGGATCATGCACTTATTTTTGTTGCGTTGTTCAAAATTTTACTATGTACTCGGGTTGATAGGTTTGGCTTGTGAAGGAGTATTCTGGTAACGCCTGACTGCAACGTTCTTACTTATTCTTAAAAATAAATATTTTAAATAATTCGATTTGCATCTATTGCTTACCCTTTTTGAGCATAACTTCATCGACTCCTGTAATAGAACAATTATCCAAGCGAACGATTGGGCCACCAATGTTGATGAGATCATTTGGCGGAGTCAAGGGATGTCCAGGAAGCAGAGTTGGAGCAGTTGACGTGCCTCCATTGCAATACCCCGTTACCGATATCACTCCTGTTGATGAAGCCATTTCACTACCATTCAAAGGAGCCGCATACCAGGACCCAGTTGGATAATGTCGCGACTGCCAACTCTGCTGTTGGTGCTGGTTATGTTGCTGCTCGTGCTGGCTATGTGTGTGGATCGGATGCGGACTAAAATGACTGGGCACACTTGTCATCAGTTGTTCGTGAATAACTGGAGGCGCAGCTGGTGTCGACAAGGGCGGATCGAGCGTCGGCACATGTTGGGTGTTCAACAAGCGTATCTTCTCATAAATGGACTCCTGTTCACTGCCCTCACCCGAATTGCTAGCTCTTCCACTTTCCGAAGAATTCAACGGTGTTGCTGTTTGTATTAGATCATGTGTGCTGCTTGTGGTGCTAGCGCCAACGCCAACACTTACACCACTTTTGCCACTCATACTATTACCATTATTGTTGCTATTAACGTTGCTGTTAGCATTGCCTTGGCTCGTGCTAGGGTTAGGATTTATGTTTGTGTTGGAGCTACTTGTTCCCGAACTTTGCTGCTCCTTTTGTGCTGCTAAGTTCCTCAAAACTCTGTTGATCGAAGATACCTAGGAGATAAAAACATCAAAAAATAGACATCAGTCAAGAATAAAATATCGCATATTGACAAATGTACTTCTAGTTTATTGCACTTAATTATTAGATTATATTTAGTTGTACAGTTCGTCATATGATTGATAGTTGTTAGCTGGATAAACTGAAAACTTGAGAAAGTTTAGAAATCGAACGTTAATATATGCAATTTAATTTGTTTAGCTCAAAGTTTTTCAGTTCCTAAATCAATTTTTTAATTATCTCGGATTTGTAGATCATAAGCCAGAGCCTTTATATATTGGACACAAGTTTTGGTAAAGCATTCACAAAAGAAAACTTTATTCTTGTATGACCGATTATCTAGCTGCTCTTTGAAATTTGTAGAATTCATTTCGCTTCAACTAGGAGAAGAGAATAATATTGGAATATCTGAAATAGGTCTTAGCGAGCGTCCATTAGAGTATCAACTAGTCATACATTACTGCTGTATTGTTTTTCTATTGTTATTTTAGGGGAAAGCCTGCGCATGACAGCGCTTTTGAAATGAATTCAAAAGGCAACAGCGAAAACGAAACGAACGAAAGAAAGAACAAACGCGCAAAACATATAAATGAGCGAGTGAGAACAACAGGGAAAAAGTGCAGTTGACTGGAAAAATTAGGCAGACATGTCCTTTCGAGGGAACGAAAGCGAATGCCTGTATAAAAACTTATTTTAAAAATAAAATGAACGCCATCCCCGAAAGCATTGTACACACAAATAAAATTTATATACATATACATATACACATCCATATATTTATACTTTTAATATGTATTCGGATACCCCAGCCACAATTCAGGTTCAAACAATGCTTGCCCATCAGTAGATACGGACATAGAGATGCAAAAGCTTCGGCTAAAAGACGATCAGCATACAAGCCAAAACATTGTTACTTATTTCATTTATTATTACAAAATTAATCGAAATATAAGTTATTGAACAACTAAATATAAGAAACTTCAACAAAAGTTCTTATTGTCAGACGCCTGCTACATCGAATCCCTTGGCCCATCGGAACAAATTAGAGCGTGCGGCTAACATCCAGCAGTTTAATTTCTAACTGCCAAACACTAACGCTTTCACCCCTCAATGATTTTTTATGGCTCTGCTCTCAATCCGTCCCTGTACCCACCAATGCGTCGATTCCGTTTCTGTTTCTGTTTCCAGCATAAAAGGAAGAATCGGACTTTCCCTCGCGCGTGAATTTCAACGCCTTACGCTTTGTGGTGACGGGCTGGGCCGTATTTATTTAATATTGTACGTTTTTCATACTTTTTCTAGCACTGATTTCCCTTTTTGGCGCTTAATGTGCATAAAAGATTTTCCCTTCCATTTGAATGAGCACATTTTCCACACAACTGTCAATGAGGCAGAGTACAGCGCAGGCCATCGGCATCGCTGTCACAATTCATTTGCCTTCTTCGCTATTCCTTTTTTGGCATACTTAATAAACAATAAAAAAAAGACTGCTAACTAGATATAAGAACGGCAGAACAAAAAAAAAAACAAAAATGGCGTTAAGCTTGCCAAATAAATTCACATAGCGAACAAAATAAAATAGCAACAATAATGTGGTACTTAAATCATTAGAAAATACTTGAAAACTTGACATATCGACCAATTCCTTTCACTTCAGAAAATATTTAAGAGCAGATACATTTAAATATACATATGTATATGCATATATCTAAAATTTAGCTGAAAATTCTTGAATCGCAATGGATTGAATTTTTTAGAACATTCTACAGATAAATAATGTATTTTTATATAATTATACTTGTGCAGTAAGGGTGTAAGAAATGTCCAAAAGTATACTTACACTTGGAATGTTATCATTTGTACACACATTCTCCTGTAATAATCTATCACGGATCTCCCATGCAAATATGCTAGGACATTCCCGTTTGTATTGTGAGATTTTGCTAACAACTTCTGCGGTGGCAACACGTGGCTTGGAACCTCCGATCGCACGAGGTCGAATACTTCCTGTTTCGTAATATCTAAAATATATATATATATACATATATATGACAAGAAATTAATTTAATTTTAAAACCTACTTTATGTAGTTGGACTTACTACATATAATTTTCAGATCGAGATAATATTATTACTGCGTGCATTTGCCAAAGCACAGGTCTCCAATATTCGAATATTCGCTTTTTGCAAACTTTATTGTAAGGGTGAACATGGGGTGGAGCTGAATTATGAATTTATATATATTTTTTGGAGTGACCAACGACGTACTTGCAATAGACGGTCTTACAAGTCTCTAGTTCTTACATCTAAGATCAACGCGTACAAGCATACGGACAGACGGACAAACCTACGAATGGACATGGCTTAATCAAGTCAGCCCGAGTATTGAATTTTCAGATTTCTGGTTAATTATGCTTTAAATAGAGCGGAATTTGAATAATCACTATATGTTCAGAACCAATTTTGTACGCCCTTAATAGGACATATCATTTTCGCTCTTATACAATGGTAAAATTAGCTCACGTGCAAAATTTCAGCGTTCTAGCTTTAACAGTGCAGACGATACAGTTTTACCCCATTTACAGCGCCCCCAACGGAACTATATACATATATCCGCCATAGCTTATTGATCTTGGGTGGTCAACGCCTCAACTAATTTTTGGCATACCAAAAATGCAATTTTCAATTACAATTATTTTTTCAAAAATTTTAAAAGAAGTGATTTAAGATTCTAATTCTTAATTCTTGCAACCCATAATGCTCTAGAACCGGCTTTTAGTCAGTCGTCAAGGCGATAAGATTCCAGAAAATTCATGTCCTCATTTGAAATACTTAAAATGTTATATAAATTGGAATATTCAGTACTTACCTGCCTAAAATTTTGCTAACACACCCATTGGAAACTTGCAGGATTCGCGAAATATCACATGGTCGAGCTCCGGAGTGGGCGAGCTCAACTATTTTCTGGCGTGTCGAGTCTGGTAATGGCCTTCCTCCAACAAAGACTCCACCCAATTGATTTACTCCACTGTGACCTGAAATATAAAATTTATTGAGCACTATAACACATCGTCTCGCCAACAGTACGCGAGAATTTGAAGTTTTTTGTCAATCCCAAAATATAATTTTCAGTGACTTTTTTGTTCATATGCCTGTCACTTTTTCCTTTTATTATACCCTAAACCCATTGAAAATGGGTATAATGGTTTTGTGAAAAAGTATGTAACGGGCAGAAAGAGGCGTGGCAGACCCCTCAAAGTATATATATTCTTGATCAGCGCGACAAGCTGAGTCGATATAGCCCTGTCCGTATGAAATTTGGCATGAATACTCGTGTGTACCATACGCAGTACGAGCTTGCTTTATTTTTTTCGATAAATCATCCGATAACTTTTTTATCGAGAATAATCAAAAAATTGATTTTGTTTTTTCAGCCTCATTGGAATACTATTAGACCTGGAGACTTCAGATTTACTGTGTATATACATATGATGAATACAAACAATTTGTAATTTACAGATTTTGGATACCACGCCCCTTTCGCCCTCAATTTGTAAAAAACGCATTTCAAGTACTAGAGACTTGTGCTTTGAAATGTACATACATTATTATGATTACGTTCTGAAAGTTTCATTAAGATTGCAAGTCTAGAAATTAAATCATTCAACAAATAAATTCGTATATTGCCCACATTGCAGAGCAGCCCAAGCGCAGCCATTGCTTACTGCGCCGTCTGCAGAGCGCGTTGTTATACGTGCGTCTGGATGTATGTGTATGTGTGCATAGAAGTGCAGAATGATTAGAATATCAGCTTGGAGGGTTCAGGGTATCTCCTAGTCGAGCAGTCTCAACTAGAGCCTTCTTACTTGTTTATATCTAAGATTGTGAAACATCAAAGTTTTGCCTGAATTACAATCTGACAAAATGGGAGTATATTTGTTTTGTCCTGAGCCGTATGCATGAATAGTGAAAGGTCACATGGTAAACGTATAAAATGCAACCCTGACATGGTACATAAAGCCAATAGAATCTTATCTTTCCGTTAACAACTAAATTTACCTGCTATTTTCTCTCTATTCATTTATATAAAATTCAATTTTACTAATATTTTGCATTGGCAAATTATAGTACCAGGTTGCCTTGTGGACAATAAGATGTAAAAATAGACTATATTTATCCGAGGTGAGGAATTATTTCAATATTAAGATTGACATTAAATGAAGCGATCCGGTAAGTGTGAATAGGATATCCTCTTTGCGGAGTCATTCGACAAGATTTGAGTTGTATAACATATCTTCTGGCCACACCCAGGATATTTTTATATAAAAATATATTTTTTTGAAAGAAACGTTTTTTTAGTAAGAACATTTTTTTAATTAAAGTGTATATTTGTAAAATTGTTGGTCTAGAAATGAATTACATTGCTTTGTTTTTGTTAATTCCAAACAAAAATGTCAAACCTTTTTTGCGCTCTACTGCAATATTTTTTTAACAAGGTTGTAAAAGTATCTAAAAACACGTTTTGGAATTCTCTCAACTTGTCAAGATGTTTGCACTGTTTGGTCGAGTATATTGCTCGATGCGCTGACAGTTTCTTGTTTGGTAACAATTCAATTCAAATTGGTCGAGATTGAAAGGCTCGTTTTATGTGACTACAAAAAAAAAAAAAAAAAAAAAAAAAAAAAAAAACAAGTCAATTCAAAAACAAAAGACGATAAAATGAAAATAGATAATCAAATCAACTGGTCAACCATAAAGAAAAAGTAAGAAGCACTCGTTATGTCGATGGATGACATGGATTTCAAATATATTTCCTAGTATCGTTGCTTGTGAGATAATCTCTAAATCTGCGTATCAATGTGACTCCTTATTGAGCCCAGCGATGCGGTAACTTGCCTGCCAGTTTTACCCTATTACTGAATGCCACGAGATGAGGGTCAAAGTACTTTGAAAGGCTAAGCCCGACTCTAAATTTTACGGCAATCGGTTGGCAGAGCAGCTAAACGTTAAACGTTAAGGTACCATACCATCAAATATAATATATAACAGATTAGAGTGATAACATCTTCTCGCTATATTTTCAATTACTCAGTAATAATCTATTGGAACTAACTTCACTTCTAGTTCTCAATGTATATAAATATAATAAGTAAGAAAGCTGTAGTCGAGACTGCTCGACTACGAGATCCCTGAGCCCTTTGAGCAAGAGCGATTTCTATCATTTTTCGCGTCTTTCTGCTTACACAAGAAACACACACACAGGCACACATAGGCACGCACGCATAAACACGCTTGGGCTGCTGTTTGATAGCTTTCCTTATGAATGTACTTGATCCATGAAACTCTTAGATTGTGATTGTATCATTAAAATACGTACATTTGCCAAAGCTGAAATCTCTAGTATTTCAAATACCCCCCTTAACAAATTTAGGGGTGAGGGGGTGCATATAGGGGTGGAGGGTGAATTATAACAAAAATCGAAATACTATAAAGTACAAATGAACTTACATATAAAATCTGGCGGCTCTAGCTTTAAAGATATTGGAGATATAATCAAAAAGCTTGTTTTCGATAATGTCTTTAATCGATAAAAAATAACGGGATGAGTTATCGATTTTTGGAGATAAACTCGATACCCGCGGTATGAAAAAAATTAAAGTCTAGCTCTTATATCTTCTGAAATCGACGCGTTCAAAAAGATGGACGGACGGATAGACGGACAGGGCTAAATCAATTCAGCTCGTCACCCTGATCAAGAATATATATACTTTGTGGGGTCTGCCATGCTTCCTTCTTCATTTTCACAAAACCATTATACCTTGATTTCCCATTTTCAATAGGATTAACAATGTAATTGCTACACAAATCAGATGGGATGCAATTTGGACCTTGGACCTAGATCTGGACATATCATTGCGATGACAAGGGCAAGAAATAACCACTAGGAACCCCTAGGACATCACGTCGCACAATGATCGCGTCACTAACAGTCTCATTTGGGTTTCATGAATGTGTAGCTGTGACAGTTGTGTGCGAAAACGAGATAGTCCTATATAAATATTAGGAGAGAAGAGCGTGTTGCAGTTTGGCTGATGTGCGACACGAGCAGCGCAAACACAATGATCAGACAAAACAAAATGCTGATGCTTTTGTTTATTATCCATTCGACTTCGGCTTCCAACGTCATGATAATTGTTTTCATTTGTAACGACATGACACGAAACGGTCTTTGAACACAGAACACTCTTCAATTCCATTATATAGGTGGAAAATGATTGTATTGATTCATAAAGCAAACAATGGCACGGACATAACTAAAACTACTTATCGGCACAGCGGGACAGAGAGCGTTAGGTAGGAAGGGGACGAAGGCACCCCGAAAGGAGGTTCGCAAAACGAGGAGAGAAGCATGTCGAACGGGCACAGGAGTGTCAATCAGCTATGTGTTCTTTGCCGATGGTGTTTAATATGTACCTTATGTGCTCAATAAACATCTTTACTTGGACTTACAGAGAGACTCGGAACTCGGGGTCTTTCTCTCTCTGTACTGTTTCCGTTATCCATTGTCCGTAGTGATCAGCTGGGCTATGGATTTTTGTTTTCGATTCATTGTGTGACCATAATTGCCAGCTTATACAGATTCCAGATCCCTTGACCAAGTCATTCACAGGACAAAGCCAACAAACAATTAGTGGAAAAATCAATGAAAACCAATGTCTCGCAATTTTCACACCGAATCCCAAACATTTTCACAAATCGTGGCAGCGATTGATAAGCGTGCTTCTGGGTAGTACTATATCCTGAATAACTCAATTAGGTAAGTATATGTATAACAATCCAGATTGCCAGATTGCAGGCAGATATATATATATTGGGATTTCTCTTGACGCCTGCAATCTTGTAATCTTGTTTGCTTTTTTTATACCCAGAACCCATTGAAAATAAGAAATCAGGGTATAACGGTTTTGTTAAATGTATGTAACCAGCAGAAGGAGGCGTGGCAGCCCTATAAAGTAGTTGAGTCGATTTAGCCCTGTCCGTCTGTCCATCTGTCCTTACGTTTGAACGCGTCGATCTCAGAAGATATAAGAGAAGAAGATAAACTTGAAATTTTTTTTCCTAAGTCGGTGTATACCACGCGCATATCGAGTTTTTCTTCAAAAATGGATAACTTGACCTGTTATTTTTTTAAAACATTATCGAAAATCAGAAATAAATTGATATCTACTACACCTTTTAAGCTAGAGGTAAATGTAGATTCATATCTACTTAATAGAATTTCGATTGTTGTTAAAATTTAACCCCACCCCCTATATTTATTTATTTATTTATTTATTTCTTAAAGCTATTGACAAAAACGAGAGTCAATTTTAATTAAAAAAAGCCTATACAAAGTACACGATATAATTTCAATAGTAACACCAATCCGATGGGGGTATTTTATTTGCCAGTCCGGCCGGCTATGCCCACGTGGCCCAAATATGGTCAGTGATACTATTGAAGCTATGAAAAGAAAGTGTTAGTAAGAAAACTTTAAAAAAATAAAATATTAAAATGTAGGTTATTAACAATATCTAGCATAATTAAAATAATTCTTAAAATAATAATAAAAAATAAAAAAATAATAATAATAATAAAAAAAAATAAATAAATAAATAAAAGGAGTTAAAAAAAGAGATAAAGTATAGAAAAAGAAAAAGGACGGTAATAAAAGAAGTTGCAAGAAAAGTTAATAAAAAGAATGAGAAATAATAAAAAGAAAAGAGTAAGGGAAGAGCCAAAAATAGAGTATAAGAATAGAATTGAGAAATCACTAACACAACATTAGCAGCAAAAACGTATGCCAATGCTTATGCCTGGGCATTGTGAGTGATTTCCCTAAGATAAGCTGATAGTAAACTTTTTATTTTAGGAGAGAGCTCTAAGGAAAAAACGTGATAATATTTATTAAAATTAACACAAAGAACATGAAACGCACTGTGCAAAGAATAATCCCTAGTGCACACAGGTAAATGAAGCGGACGATAGTGTCTAGTTGCTCAGGACGGAACCAAAAAATTTAGACGACCCAACAAAGAGGACGAATCAATATCACCACTAATCAATTTATGCAGAAAAACAATTCCTAAAATTGTTCTGCGATTGGTTAGCGATGGAAGATCAATTAGCTGGAGCCTTCTATGATAAGACGGTAATCGTAAATTACTGTCCCATCTAAGGTCTCTTAAGGCAAAGAGAAGAAACTGTTTTTGGACCGATTCGATACGATCCTGATACAGTTTATGTTACGGAGACCATACGACAGAGCAATACTCTAGGATAGGACGCACAAGCGAAGTAAATAAGCGCTTGGTAATAAAAGGATCTTTAAATTCCTTAGACCAACGTTTAATAAAGCCAAGCACACTTTTGGCTTCATTAATGATGGTAGAAATATGAAGATTAAAGTTAAGTTTACAGTCAAAGAACACACCAAGATCTTTGACTGTAAAGATGCGTCGTAAGGAAATATTGCTAATTTGAGCAATTTAGGTCAAGCTGGTTTGCCACACACCAAAGTTGAAATGCATTTAGGTCATCTTGAAGGTGAAGATGTCCATTTGCCCTGGAGTATGGAAGGCAAAGTTTTACATCATCAGCATACATAAATATAGTGGAATACGAGATACAACTAGGAAGGTCATTTATAAAAAGGGAAAAGAGCTATGGGCCCAAATGGCTACCCTGAGGTACACCAGACGAAACAAAGATAAGTTTGGACATAGCTGTTCTCAGGAAGACTCTTTGGGCTCTACCCGTTAAATAGGATGAAATCCCAGAGACAAGACTGGGTGAAAATCCTAAGCGTTCAAGCTTAAGAATTAGTATATCCAGCCCCTCACCATCACTTTTGTAAAAGGCGTATTTTAAATACTAGAAACTTGTGCTTTGACAAATGCATGCATATCAATGTTATAACGATAATATAAAGATATGAAGATTGTCCATCCGCAAGAAATGTTTTTTTTTACAATTAAGTTCCCATAGTAAGCCCACACTGCAGCGAATGCGTGTTCATGCCTGTGTGTGAGTGCGTGCGCGCATTTGCGAATAATTATTGAAATATCAGTTGCTCGAAGGGCTTAGGGGATCTCGTAGTCGAGCAGTCTCGACTACAGCTTTCTTACTTGTTGTAGATGGAGCATGGAGTACACATTAAAGTATTCGCTCTATCTTTCTATTTTACTTTTGATTCTGTACTTATTATATTTTCGGAAAGTGGAAGCATATGTATTGTTTGAGCTTCATTCTCTTTTTCCGAGCACCATACCACGGCTAGGGGAAGGATCGAAGGATCAGATGTATAAGAATAATATAGTCCTAATTTTCAGTCCAATTAAAGGTGTCAAGAGATGGAAGTCAATTACATGTTCATGCTTGAACTGTATGAGCGCGTCGATCTCAAAGGATATAAGAGCAAGAGACTTGAAATGTTGTTATAGCTCCGTGTATTGCACGAGCAGATCCAGTTTGTTTCCAAATATCGCTAACTACCCCGGGGTAGGGTATAATGGTTTTGATAAAAGTATGTAACAGGCAGAAGTGGGCGTGGCAGACCCCATAAAGTATATATATTCTTGATCAGGTCGACGAGCTGAGTCGATATAGCCCGGTCAGTCTGTCAATCCGTCCGTCCGTATGAACGCCGAGATCTCTGAAGGTATAAGTGTGTATGTACGTATTTGGAGGGTTCAGGATATCTCCTAGTCGAGCAGTCTCGACTAGAGCCCTCTTACTTGTTTTATATTGTGTATATTCTATTCTTTATATTTTTAACATATATTCAACATCCCCAATATATACATAGATTGTTGCGTGAGTATAAATTTTAAATGTCAAGTCCTCGCGCATTAAGTAATAATTCTGTTATAACATAAATGTATGAAATGGCTTGCGTTCATACGGAGAGACGGACAGTACACAAAAGCAACATTCACTAATACATATCTGATCGAATATTAAGACACTATGACTTAGTGCTGTGCTAATATTTTGAAATCATCTGCTCGCAACGACTTACCATTGCAATACAATAAGAACAAGTAAGAAGACTCTAGTCGAGACTGCTCGACTAGGAGATACCCTGAACCCTTCGAGCAACTGATATTTCAATAATTATTCGCATATGCACACACACACAGTCTTTAGCTCTTATGTCTTCTGAGATCGACGCGTTCATACATACGGACGGACGGACGGACGGACGAACGGACGGACGGACGAACAGACGGACAGACAGACCGACAGGGCCGAATCGACTCAGCTCGTCGCCCTGATCAAGAATATATATACTTTGTGGGGTCTGTCACGCCTCCTTCTGCCTGTTACATACTTTGAACAAAACTATTATACCCTGACTTCCCAATTCCAGGGTATACAAATTGTTTTACCAGACGGCCTAATTTCATAAATGTAATTGTTTTTTATACCCTGAACCCATTGAAAATGGGAAATTAGGATATAATGATCAAGAATATATATCATTTGTGGGGTCTGCCACGCCACCTTCTGCCTGTTACATACTTTGAACAAAACCATTATACCCTGATTTCCCAATTTCAGGGTATAAAAATTGCTTTACCAGACGGCCTCATTTCATAAATGTAATTGTTTTTTATACCCTGAACCCATTGAAAATGGGAAATCAGGGTATAATGGGTTTGATAAAAGTATGTAACAGGCAAAAGGAGGCGTGGCATACCCCATAAAGTATATATATTCTTGATCAAGGCGATGAGCTGAGTCGATATAGCCCTGTCCGTCCGTATGAACGCCTAGATCTTAGAAGTTATAAGAACTAGAGAGCTGAAATTTTGCATGTAGACTCTTGTATACCATACGCAGTACAAGTTTGTCATATTTTTTATCGATATTTCATCCGACAACTTTTTTATCGAGAATAATCGAAAGATTGATTTTGTTTTTTCAGCTTAATTTGAACACTTTTAGACCTGGAGACTTCAGATTTACTGTGTATATACAGTTGATGGTTACAAAGATTTTGTAATTTACAGATTTTGGATACCACGCCCCTTTCGTCAGCAATTAAAATAGAACGTATTTCAAGTACTAGAGACTTGTGCTTTGGAATGTATACACATTCTAACCATATGATCACGTTCTGAAAGAAGTGCAGAATGAGTAGAATATCAGCTTAGAGGGTTCAGGGTATCTCCCAGTCGAGCAGTCTCGACTGGAGCCTTCTTACTTCTGTTAACAATATTTTGATTGAGCTTAAGTCTGCGTCTGCCATTAACAAATATGAGTTAAGCATTAAAGTTGATTGAAAAATTTGAGATGATACTAAAAACATACATTCATCATCTGTTAAGTGATAGTAGGTTGTGGTAAAGTACGAAGATGTTGAGTGAGGTGGCTGTGGAGCTGCAGTTGCATCCGCAACTTCCATCGTAGCTGTTGCAGCAGCCTTTCCACCAATACCGGCCAGTCCGTTGCCACTAGCCACGCCCAAACAGGGCAGATTTCTCATAGCAAGAGCATTGTCTATAAGAAAAAAAGAGCAAAGCAAATGAAAAATAATCACAACAGCTGTCAGACGTGCACATAATACAATACTTATATGAACAATATTATAGCAATTTAATACTTATATGGTCTTATATTTTTCTTTAGTTCTGAAAGCAATATTTCCAAATACTTCTGAGCCGAGATGTATTTTCATATGCTTACCTAAATTCGCATTCTCTTTAATTGTAAAACAACGTATTAATTTATTAAATCATAAATTTCATATTTGAACACGATTTGAAAATATTCGTTTTACGCTTGTTGCCTGTATGAACTTAAACCGTTTCGACCGTCCGTCCGTCCGAACTAACGCCAAGAAGACATAAGAGCTAGACACTTGAAATTTTGCATGTTTATTCGTGTTACCATATGTTGTCCAAGTTTATCATTTTTCTTTTATATCGACAATTTTCTTTGAATTAATTTAGTTTTTAAAGCGTAATTTGAACAATATTATACCTAAAACCTTCAGATTTTGTGTGTATATCGATTTTACGAATACAAAGACTTTGTAATTTACAGATTTTGGATACTATGCCCACTTTACCCCAAAAAAAAACAAGAGACTAGAGCTTTGGCAAATTCGCACCTTTAAATGCCATCATTACAATTTTGATAATAATAATAATATTATTATTATTATTATTATTTTAATAATATTACACAAAAATATTGCTTTGCAGTCGCTGCTGCTTTTTGTGTGTGCATGTGTTTTTGAATGTGTGTATAAAATACATAAGTGCAGAATGATTAGGATATCAGCTTTTTGCAGAGTTTAGCGGGTCTTCTAGTCTAGCTGTCTCGACAGAGCACTCTTACTTGTTCGAATAGAAAGGCAATTGCTCATACGCACTCGTATAGGAGAAACGCATACGCTCTTGACGAAACGCTGCTTTTAACAACTTTTAATTGAATTTAATATTTTCAACATATGATCTACATGTTATACAGAAAGACGAAGGGGATCAGATTGACTCACCTCGTCGTCCTTATCAAGATTATTATCGAGATATTAGCGAAACCATATACACTGATTTAACCTTTTATGGTAAGGAAAACTAATATCAAAGTTACATTTGATAATGCATATTTCTATTATTAATATTTATGAGCACCTATATAGTCTAAATTTAGGGAGAGTATTTAAAAAAATTCGTGGTTCCCTTGTGATCCAGAACATCAAATAACTCATTTTCATATATTCCAAAAACTTCATTTTGGTACTTTTATGTTGATTCTTGTTCAGTACATAAGATTGAATGTTGTTCATAGTGTTTTTATTAATTTTTACAGATTTACATATTAACTGAAATACACATACAAATTGATAGTAGATTATATTAAAAGTTTGAAAGACAGCTATCATCGGAAACTAATTAGGAGTTCTTAGAAATGAAACAATATATGAGATTTTCTTGTTTTTAAAGGTCAGGCAAAAGTTGTAACCATACCCTTATGGTTCATATCATCCAGAGCGGGCAGTCGTTCAATTAGTGTTCCTGTTGACCAAGGCACTGTTCCCATAGCTGCAGGAGTAGGTTGAAGCGTAAACATTTTTTATTTATTTATTTCTTTCTTTCTTTTTTTTTTTTTTTTTTTTACGTGCTTATTATTTTTGTAGTTATTCCAGCAGTTAGATTCACTCTCTTGCTGGTAGCAAGTGCTAGTGGTGGTGCTAGCGTTGATTTCCACTGTTGGACTTTAAATTCGAAATTTGTCGCATTTATTTAGGCAATCAGAGTGCTGAAACTTAGACGGGCTACTCGTCATTTGAGTATCAACAATGAACATTTAATATAAGTGCCAGGGCTCACTGCAGGCGTCAATATTTCACACAGCGCTACCACCACAGGATTCTGTTTGTCTCAAAAGAATGCATGCAGATGGTAATGATTTTTATTTTCTTTGATTAAAGCGCTCTGTATTTGTTAGATGCACATGTATACATATATGCATGTATGTATTAATTATAATGCGCTAAGACAGCATTACTTTTTGCAAATCCTTTGTTTGTTTTTTTTTTTTATTTTATTTTATTTCTTTATTTATTTTTTTTTTTTTTTTGTAATGGAGTATTCGTCATTATTTTAGTTCACTTGTTCATTTTTGTGCACTCTACTTTGTTTTCAAATTAACCGGCACATCAGATTGTCGCGTTTTCACTATTTAATGCGATACCGCACACAAAATAATCGCACATATTCCACGTTTTCCACACAAATATATATATACGTATTATAATATGCCTTCTGCCTAAATCTAGTAGATGCTACGCAGCGTTGACAAACCGTTACCGATGCAGACATATTAAACTCATGATCGAAGGCCGCCGGTACAAGTAGTTACAGTAAATGCGCGAGCGACAATGCCAATGCTAACGCCAGTATTACTATCGCAAGATTCGGAGTTTGCTTGTGTGGCTCGGGCGTATGGGCTAATTTGAACCGTGGTGAATAGGCGACTCTCTGATTGGCTGGCAGAGCCCATCCACTTAGTACCCACTTCCCTTGTGGTCGTATGCAACTCAATGATTGGCAGCGAGCCAGCTCGCAAGCTGTTCTGCTCTATCACGCATTGGAAATACCAGCTGTGTGCGCAGTACAGCAATACAAGCTGGGCCTTAAAAGCAGCCTGTCTCGTAAACAGTTGCAGCGCTTGTTGCGCCAAAAACCAAAAGAGGTCAAGCCAATGTTTATTATTTCTGGCAAAGATATTGAATCTATAGAATATTTTTGCTGTCAAAATAAAATTTTTAGTAATTGATTTAGCCACAATGTATACATTCTAAGTATTACGTGGAAAATTTAAAATAATGAAAAATATTGCTTATATTAACGTAATTTGATTTTATATGTGTTATGCCGGGTCATCGCGTAAATACACAATTTTCGTATATATATATATATATATATATATATACATACATATATATATATATATATATATGTATATGTGTGTACGACTGTGTGTGCGGATTTGTGTACATGAGTACACATGTCTGCTTGTTGGATTGGGAAACTCGAATTCTATTTGAATTACCCGAATGAACGGGCGAGTAAGTTGCAGTCGCCCAATTGAATTGTTTCATTCCGATACAATAACCTCTAGACTGTTCCGTTAACTACCCACATGGCTTCCGTTTCGACAAACACAAACACAGCACGAATGCGAATGCTAACGAATGGGCGGCATGGAGCTTCAGGACCCTGTTCCTGTTCCTGTTCCTGATTTCGATTCTGTGTCTAAACGTGGGCGTGGGCGTGGGTGCGTGGTTGTTTTCAAAATGACGACGGACGCGGACACACCCTCATCTGCACATGGAGCCAGCATATCGTAAGTGTGTATTATCGTTTGTCCTGCTTTCGCTGCCTTGTGAATCGCTCGGCTGAATATCGGCATTAGACAGAGATAGCCATACATACATACTGTAAAGTACGATTTGCATTTTTGCACAAAATGTTTACAGAATGCATATGGAAATGAGTACTAATAGGCGAGTTGCTACAGTCCAATCGAACTGACACTTTCATGCGGGCAAAAGTTGATGTCTTTTCTGATTTAGATTTTTGATACAACTCACAGTTACAACCTAGAATTAAAAAAAAAAATTACTAAGTAGGAGTGTTTAACTTTGTGATGATATCTTCTTTTCAGTAAATCCGATCATAATGTTCTATGTTTCTAACGAAAAAATTTATGTGTGGCAGGAATATTTCATAAATCTGAGCCCGTCGGGTCGTCCCATATCAGTTATTTCATTTCACATTAAAGTAATCCATATACTAGATATCCGCAAAATATCTAATTTCTAAATGTTCTTTAAATTAAATTAAATTATATATTAAATATATAAAGTGTCTAACATCAACTTCAAACGATGAGGTATATATCAATATAGTACGTTTAATATAAGTAACAAAATTTAGATATGTTATTCGATGGAAAAGCTAGGGAACCTCAGACATTAAATTATAATTCAACCCGCTTTTGAAGCTAAGGTCCTTAATTTTTGCATTTCGATTTATTTCATAGCATGAGGCTAAGGACAATAAATTTTGACATCCATATAAATCTTAAAGCTCTAGAGCGCCAAGTGAATGCGTGTGAAATGTGAAATGTTCACGTCTTAGACCTTTCGAATAGATATTTAAGTTAATGCTCACACATAAACCAATGTCAATTTCAAATTTGTAATAAATGAACAAATATTGAATAGAGAATGTATTTGGATTATTTGCTGAAACTGAAATCATATTCATTGAAATTCGGTAGCATGTCTGTAGACATGTCTGTAGACATGTGTGCACATGTTATTTCTCTTGAATTGGGTGTGCATTGTACTTTCGTTTATGTTTGCTACTTTGCACTGATCACTGATATATATATGTACATATATATTCTCTTTGAATAACTATAAAAATACTGAAATTGCCAAGTGTTAAACCCTTTCCCCACTACCAGTTCACTGATCATATATATATATACATATATCATATGTATATATATATATATGTATATGTATCTTAATCAATGGCTTGTAGGTATAATGCAGTCTGATTCTTCATTTCAAACCCATCATCACATGTGATAACAGCACGTATTTAGAAGTGCAGGAGCCGTCCAGTCAACCCCTCTTTTATAGCGTTGCTTGACAAGCACCCCTTTTTATGAAACTAAGAATTTTAATTTGTTACGATTACATCTGAGATATGCGCAAACTTTTATCGCTCGGAATCATTCTAATACGTACAAAGATGCCAAGAAAACGAAAACGAATCTTGCACGCAACGGAGCAATATAAGTATGATTCCAATTCCTATATAAGACACATGAAAGCAAATCTCTCAGCAGGAAATTGTGCCCGTCCTGCAGATCATCGGAACGCGATTGTGCCACGTGCCGTATAGAACGCCATGTGGAACGGCGTTGATGCAAAAGTTTCCCGCATCGAGGATGAGCTGAGGCCGAATCCGCCGCCTGTTGTGTTGCGCGACCAGTTTTGCACCAATAGGAATATTAATGATTTACGCTTTGAATCTAGATACGAGGTCGATCTGGACTATGAAAAAATAAAGAATAAACACTCCAGACTCTACAATTAAACTTTACTGTAAATGAGGAACTAGAGCTGAGCCATCCCATCTTCAATACCTTGTGCTTAATCTGTATTTGTATCTGTAATATTAACACAAATTTAAATTTGGAACGCCAACCGACTACGCTATACATACTCTTCTTCTACTTTTTACTCTAATATCAATCAACTTCACAACTAAAGCGAAAATGTTTTATTTCATAAGCTATATACGATTCAGCAGGCACATGATTCAGGTCAACTGGCAACTTTCTTGGAAGATTTCAAATAAGCCATATACCCTTTTCGAGCTTTGTGATGAAGCATTAAGATTTAAGATAACTTTTGTGTCGATTTTTTATTTTTATTTTCAAAGCTGCGACATTTTCTATGTGTTTTGCAGTAACATAGCAATGGGCGTGGCAAAGGCAACGTCGTGCAAGAATACGATTACGACTAAGATTACAAATTGATTACCGTAAATTGTTACATCATTTTGCATCGCTGCTTTACCGGTTTTTAACTCCCATTTGTAGCTGTTTTTATTGTTTGTTGTTTCGTGTTGATGTTGGCTGAGCAGCATGCGACCGTCTGATATGCTCACTGCGTCCTGAGTGAAGTCTTGCGAGTAAGCGATAAGAAAGCAATGCCTTACTATTCAGAGCAAGCGTTGCGAAGCATGTGTAGAGTCAAACTGAGGCCGTGGTTGAAGCCAATAAGGGGATAGGCATGAAATATTCAATTCGGATGTATGTATGTGTGCATACTTAGCAGGAAGAACATGGGCGCAGATTTTAACAAAGGGAAAATTTTAGGTTATATTAAAATGTGTATATTAACAAAAACTAAGAGGACTTATATATCGCAATCTGGCCCGATGCAGTCTTTAATCAATAATTCTCATCCAAAGTCCAAAAAGTGTTATGTATAGCGCAACAGTTTTTTAACACAGTTCATCTACCAATTCCAAATTTGCAATTTAATTTTTTTATTAAAATGCATTGTGAAAATTGTATTTTATTTTAAGCACTAAAAGTATAGAAAATATTGTATATTTATATATTTATATTATATAAGGATCATTTCCAGCTTCAATTTTTGTTTTCCGCTATCATTCGTTATAGAACCTACTAATTTTTGTATTGATGTATAGATACTTACACACTTACTTGACAGTTACTTCACATTTATCTGAAATTGTCGGCGTAAAATATGTATAATTTACACCAAATTTGCTTAATCCATAATAAATCACAACAATTATCACATTTGAAAATGCCAGGCAGCCCCCTTTATGTTTTGTCCGCATTGCTCCCCACCGGGAATCTTACTAACGAGTCATTAAACAATTAAAGACTCGAGTACTAGCAACAAGCCAGCCAGGCAGACAGCCCGCTTGATGGCCAGCCAAGCATTTGACCAGCCAACCAAATACAAACAACCAAAAATACATATCAGAGACACGGCATGGTGTGTACAATCGCTGTGGGAAACTGTTAAGCAGGTAAAGGGGAACTGTGAAATGGGAAGCGAGGAAGTGGGACAAGAGGGGAATCAATCATCGGGGTTTACCAAAGCACAACAGCCAAGTTTCACGCACGCCCATTTCACCCGAGAGCCAACCACTGTGAATATGCTTCAATTATTATGAGCATTCCGTACCGTGCCTCCCACTCCTGCCATACCCATACCCATACCACCCACACATATCACATAAGGATTATCACTTAACAAAAGTCGAATCCCAACCCCGATCCGTGAATGGATATTCTCTAGAACAAGGGGAGCAGTCCGTTGAGTGGCATTAAAGGATGCATACGTAATTAAAAGAATACATGCTGGGTTGCCCATCCAACAGATATAACAACAAAAATGAAAAAGTTTGCAGTATAGCTGGTATAGCAAAGATACAAACATGCTATTTACGACTACATACTATGAACACATACAGATAAATAAATCGTACAATATCATTCAGTGTATCTTTTATAGAAATTTGCACTAGATGAGAAATGATAAGCAATGTGCATATATGTACATATGTATATATAACAGTTTTGAAGGAAATTATCAATTTCTAGGAATGTGAGCAAGCAGCCAATTTTGATATCGATTTTAGAATTTATCCTGAATGGGCTACTCAAAACTTCCACCACAATTGACAGCAAGATTTATATTTCCTGATATTCGATCGAAGTTGCTCTCTCAGGTGAAATGAGCTAATTGTTTATAACAAAAAGAGAGCAAAATGAAATAAACTAATATTTGTATCAACTCTAACCGCCTCTGCCCCAGTTAAACGTTTATTTTTATAACTC